CGCTGATGGACCCATGAACCTGCTGGAAGCTGTCACCCTTGCGGGAACCCCCGAGGCACGTGGGCGTGGTACCATGGTTGTGCTGAACGACCGTATCGGGAGCGCCTTCTACATGACGAAAACGCATTCAAATGCCCTGGACACCTTCAAAGCATCCGAACAAGGCTACCTGGGTTTCTTCCTGGATACAAAGCCACTGTTCTACTATCATCCCGTCTTGCCTATTGGCCGTGAGTACTTCAACGTCTCGGGGGCAACTGAATTGCCTGAAGTGGACATCCTATTCGGGCATCAAGTACTGAGCCCCAAGCTGGCTCGCTCTGCAGTAGAGAGTGGAGCAAAGGGCTTAGTCTTGGCTGGTATGGGGGCTGGAGGCTGGACATCGGCGGGAACAAGTGAGATTGAGGACTTGGTTGAGGAATATGGTACGCAAGTCGTGGTTTCCAGCAGAACAATGGGAGGCTTTGTCCAGACAGACGGTTCTGGAAATATGTACGGTGGACAGGACTTGAACCCCCAGAAGGCTCGTATCATGTTGCAACTTGCTCTTTATGCTGGATACAGCTCCAAGAAACTCGCAACATTGTTCGGGTTTGCATCTTGAGAGCAAGTTCAGATCTCGGCGATAGTCGGAGGCTATATAGCAATTCCTTGTCATTAACGCTTAGAGACACAATATGATAGATGATTTCATGTATATTAACCTGACCTCCCACCAAAGTTGAAGCCCCGTCCTGCCGGCGTAACCGTGCCAAGCGCCCAACACCAGTGAACGAACGGCAAAAGATTCCAAGATTGGAAGGTGTAGGCATCATAGAGAGTATTCAGAGATCTCAAGTATACCAGAGGGCCGCATTATAGACTTTGTCAGTGATCAAAAAGCGGCAGTGGGTGAGCCCTAAGACTGAAAAGGAAAGCCATGTCGCGCGATGTAAAACCCGGTGTATTTATAAATCTAAATATATATATCCTTCTATGTCTAGAAATATGTCCCTAGTCAACTCAACTTTCAGATCAACCCACGAATAAAAAGCACTCTCTGTTTCGACAGATTTATGGTTTGGCCAGGCCTCGCGATATATGCAAGACGTGGTACAGCCTTCTTTCAGAGACCCATTAGAGTATCTCATTCCACCCACGCCTCGGGCAGAAGAGGAAACCCAGAACAGAGAGTAAGATCATCATCATTCCAACTATCCAGTTGCAATATGAACTCTCCTGTGAGATGCTGACCCTGAGTCTCGAGATCATTGTATCTGCTCATGTGGGTAATACCCGTGTCTAGGGTGATGCCTTCCAGCTCGTGCAGAATAGATTCGATTCGTTTTGTCTGCATGATAATTTCGCTTTTGGCTGTCTGGTGAATTTGTATGAGGAGTTCGGCTAAGCCGGTACTGTTTGCGGTGATCATGCCTCGCTCGGTCTCGGATCCAGTTAACTGGCGCGAACTGATGTACTGCATCACTCGGACGCAGACCCCCAATCCCAAACAGAAGATCTCAGCAGCAGTGGAGAAACACCCGGCAGCTTCGGCCTTGAGTAATGGGTGATCTCTGGTAAAAGAAGAAATGGTGTTTAAGAGGGACCCAGCCTCGGTGAGAAAATCCCCCAGAACTTCCTCGTTTAGCGTCCAGCTTTCAAAGGGTCCGTGTGGGAAAAGCATATGGATCATGATGGTTAGATAGGTGACTTTGACGATTGCCTCGAGGGAACTGCTAGAGCTGGCTTCTTGCATCGTGCGCAACGCCTCCTGGAGACAGAGGCGGATTCTACTGCATAATGACTCCTTGTCTAACCCGTTGCCGGCTAGCTGGCGCAGTTGGTGGAGATGGCGGGTTTGGGAGGGAATTTTGTCGTGGGATCCTGTGGTGTTTTGGTACCAGTGTGCTAGGATGTATACGTGGCCCAGGGTTGCTGTGAGCTGACTGAGTGGCCAGAGGAGCCGGGCTACTGTCGCCTGTGCTCGGATGGTTGATACTTGGGAGAAATCTCAGTTCACAGCAGGGTAAAAGGGCTACGGGACTGCGATCTTACCGTGGCCAGAGGCAATATCCAACACTGTCATGCGAGACGAAAACTCGTCGACTGGGGGAAAACTGACAGGGATATCTGCCAGTTTCTGGGCCGGTGAATCGCCGTCTTCCGTTTGCATCAGGATCCACAAGCGGAGTGAGGAGGTTACCGAGTCCATATTGTGCAATACTTCGTGCTCCACATCGATGACCTGGAACCCGTTGATTTTAATGCGGTAAGGGGCAGTGTTGGGTGCTGTGGAGAGACGGCTACGCAAATCGTTGATGATTTGGGCTGCCAGTTGGATATAGCTCGTTGCCCGGCGAGCTTGAGAGCGGTGCAAATGATGCCAGCCCAACAGCAATAAGGTCTGTGCAGTGCTAATGTCTGAGACATTGACTGCTAGGGTACGCACTTGAGACATGGACCACTCAGCCAGTGCTGCGCTTTCCACCAGCAGTGACGGGCGATTGGGTTCGGGTACGTGTGTGGCTAACGTGGCTATCGCATCTGAGAGCAGGATAGCGAGCAAGGCCTGATCATAGACTCCATCCTTGATGCTCTGCAACAAGAGCGTTTTGGAGATCAGGACGGAGAAAGGGTGAATGGAGAACCAGATATCGATGAGCTGCATCATCCAACTAGAGTCAATCGAGGTCAATGGGCTGTTGACGGAGACTCCCAGATCAATTTCAAACATGGTTTCTGTGGTATCCTGTGCGAGACACGTCGCAAAGAATCTTGGCCGGTGTTCCGCTGGACCGAAACCGAGATGACCAAATCGAAGTAACAACATCTCCAGCATATCAGGTGCTATTGAAAACAACGATGTCGCCAATGGCCGATCTTCCACTGCCTTGGCCATGACCGGAGCTATTGGTCTATTTTTCATATTTTGCTGGAAAATCCTCTCCAGCTCTTGTCCACTCGTGCCGTAAGCCAACCGCGGTGGCACATTGCAATTCAGTTCTTGCAGATCCAGCTCTGGTTTCGTGCAGTTGGACTGAGGCACAGAGCATTTCCGTCGGCCTCGCAGGTTCTCTGCATCGTAGACACACACTTTGCCTTTCTGTCGACACATATCACATATACTCTGACCCGAACATCGTACCTTGCGCGCGCGGCAGTACTGACAGCTGCGCCTCATAGGGGTTGGCGGGGACTTTGCTTGCGACGTCATTGCACCGAATCATCATATTTACTTGAACCTCCCGTTTCCTTCGCAGTCTCAGGGCCGGCGTGGTAGTTATAAATAGTGAACAGTGGCAACTATTCTTACACCATTCTCGCTAGATAAGTGGAAACGGTCTTGCTACTGTCAGCACTAAGAGAATCAAGGCGACGGCCAACTATGCTTGGATCATTCTGGCTAGATAGGCTTCTTACACCATTCTCGCTAGATAAGTGGAAACGGTCTTGCTACTGTCAGCACTAAGACAATCAAGGCGACGGCCAACTATGCTTGGATCATTCTGGCTAGATAGGCGGAAAAGGTCTTGCTGCTGTCAGCACTAAAAGGATTGCGAAGGATTGGGGGCGTTTCTTGGCTAAATCCTCCCGGGAAGGGTGCTTGAATCCACCATAGGAAGGTTTGGCTAATTTCGTGTTGAAGAATCTCTCACTGGACCCTTTAGCTTACGTGGTTGATCACTTCCTTCATGCATCGAGAACCATCCACTTTCTTCCACTCAAGGAAGATTAATGAATCGGAATTGAAATTGTCTAGGATGTCGGGCTTTCAATGATTTATATATGTATTTGACTACTCCATACACTTATTGCATCTGTGTATTGCAGATGATTTAGTCTCCGAACATGGAAATTCTTTCAGCCGTTGCATGCAAGACGCCATCTCCTATGCGTTAGGTGAATAAACACGATTGACCAATCTTAATCGAAGAAATGATGTGAAATGGGCGATCCCTGCCACGTCATCCTTGCAGTAGGGTATGCACACCTTCCGACATGCATATTCCTCGGTTCTCACCTATTTGCTTATGCTATAGCCCGTGTCAAAAGTTCCCGAGCTCACCCTCTTGTCATACAATCGGCTTTCGGCAGCTTTCCCTGCCTCGAAATAATTTCAAACTTGATTTTTCTGGCTCAAAATTGAAGACAATAGGTGCAAAACATTGATAGAATTAGGGAGCCTTGAATTATGCTTGAATTATGTACAAAAAAAGTATAACAATGGACTGGAAGAATCATTAGTAGTAATGTCACACAATTTGTTGGAAAGCCCTTGAAGAAACTAGTATTTAGGTATACGGAGTAGGGTGGTGCTACTATTTACCTAGGTAGGTATAGCTGGTGGAGGCGATCGGAAGTGTCTAGTCGGATCGCTACTAGTATAGCCGAGTGGTACAATCTAGCGTGGTGTATTGTTTCTAACGTAATTTACACATTTCCTCTGATATCCTAGGTATAATTTGGTGGTATGGTGTTTTGTAATGTGATAGATTACCGCTAGTCTTAAATAACAGTGGGAATTGCGGCATCTCCCGTTCACGGGTGAGCCGACGGACGGCACAGAACGGGCATTGTTGCATCCCGATTGGTTCATATTTTTCAGGATTGTGATCAAGCTACTGTACTAGTACCCTGTTTCAACCTATGGGAATGCTTTTATGTATTTCCTAGTTCCCACTCTCTATACTAGCCAGACCAAGTTTAGCGTTGTGTCTTAGTATGTTCCAGTACCTAACAGGGGATGGGCCCGGAGATTTAAACCTGCACCGGAGGCTATTTCCCCCGTCTCGCAGACATATTCTCTCCGTCTCGCAGACATATTTCAACAACTAGCTGACAAACGGGCTTCAAAAAACGATGGCTGAGAAATCATAACTATGCTAGTGTTAGGTGTTGTGGTATTCTGTATAGATATGCGTAGGGGGGACACAGAGATACAGTTAAAAGGCAAAGCCCTCCGTCTACGCGGTGTAGTTTCTGGATCTTCACATTAATAGTTCATTGTCATTTCCCCCACCATGAACCTCTTCAAGTCAGCTGGCAATGCAGACCGGAATGTCTTTGATGAGCAGAAAAGTGTTCACGACACGGGTGATAGTGGTGTTGTGACACCAGTCAACGAGTCCGAGACTACGAGTGATAAACCGATCAATGACGCCTCCAACTTCCCCGATGGAGGCACCAAGGCCTGGTTGAATGTTGCCGGGGGCTGGTGTATCTTCTTCTCTATGTTTGGATGGGCCAATGGTGAGTAGTGGATGTCTGATTGACACACTAGTGCTGACCCATGTAGCGTTTGGTGTGTTTCAGAGTTACTACCAGGAACATCAACTCAAAGATTATACGGCGTTCCAGATCTCTTGGATTTCGTATGTTGTCCCGAGCGCTCTAGATTGCATTGTTTGCTAATGTGTCTACAGCTCTATCCAGACGTTTATTCTGTTCGGAGGAGGTATTGTGGCCGGCAAAGTGAGTAATTGATTTAGTTATACCATCTACGGAATATATGTGGACTAAACGATTCCAGTTATACGATAACTATGGCCCCAAGGTGCTTGTCTACCCAGGAGTATTCCTCCATCTCTTTGGAATGATGATGTGTAGCATCTCTACCGAGTATTACCAGTTTATTCTGTCCCAGGGTACATCCCCCTCTTACACACCCAAAATCAAACAATCAATGCTAAGAATATACAGGCGTGTGCACCTCGCTCGGTGATGCAGCACTATTTACCGCATCACTCAGCACAGCCAGCACCTGGTTCCATAAGAAACGCGCCTTTGCATTTGGGATCCTGCTCACCGGCACGAGCATCGGCGGCGTCGTCATGCCCATCTGTCTCGAGCACTTACTAGCTTCGCTGGGATTCGGCTGGGCCATTCGCGTCTGCACCTTCATCAACCTCGCTCTCCTGGTCATTGCTCTACCGACTGTGACATCGCGTCTGCCCCCAACCCCGAAACCCGTTTCGATCATGGACCACATTCGCCCACTGAAAGAAGGCCCCTTCCTGATGCTCAGTGGCGGCTGTGCTCTCTTCTACCTGGGAATGTACCTGCCATTCAATTACATCATCGTCCAAGCTGAATACCAAGGCATGTCCGCCGGGCTCGCCGGGTATCTCATCCCGATCCTCAACGGCGCCAGTCTCTTTGGCCGTCTTATCCCCGGCAAAGTCGCCGACATCATTGGCAGATTTAACACGATGATAGCCATGTGTGGGTTTGCCGGTGTTATTGTGTTGGCGCTGTGGTTGCCCGGCACCGCCAATGCGCCCATCATCGTCTTTTCGGCGCTGTACGGATTCGCCTCGGGGGCATTCATTTCGCTCATCCCGCCGCTGACAGCGCAGATCAGTGATATTCGGGAAATTGGGGTACGATCGGGCACGCTGTGGTTGGCTGTTGGAATTGCGGCGCTGGTGGCCAGTCCTATCGGTGGCGCTCTTGAGGAACGGGATGGAGGTGCATTCATGGGACTGCAGATCTTTGCTGGTGCGACTATGCTTATTGGCACGGGACTATTTGTTGTTGGCCGGTGGTACCTTGCGGGATGGAATTTCTTTGCCAAAGTGTAAATACGAGATAGACTATGTTGTAGACAAGATGGAAAATCGGATTCGGCGCAGTTGGCGGCTATAATTAATAATATATTTAATATATTTAATCGTTGCAAGGTCAACTATGTCGATGTCGACATTAGGCCGGAGATGACTAAGGAAATACACGGTCACATAATGAAACTTACTAAAAGTCTCCGTTCGGCCCGATTTTACGAGGAATACCACTACGTCTACTACCCCCCTAGTCAGAATTCTGTCAATGTGGATCATGCATATACTTTTAAGTTAGTAAACTTGGCGTTTTATTTCATCACAATACAATGTTTTTCTTACTAAACATCTTATAAATTGGTGTATATGGTATATGCAATACAGTGCGCTAGCAAAGATTAGCGTAGACTTGGCGGTTCCACATTGACAGAATTCTGACTACATAGGGGTGGTACTAGTCTTGCCGAATTCCTCATTCTATACGGGCGACTAATGGGACCACCCCTACATAACCCTCTGATTGGTTTATATTGCCGGCAGTAGTTTCGATCCACTCTCCCTTTACAAAAACTGATTATGTAGTTATTAGTAATATTGAAGCCTGAAGATGCCTTGATACGTGAATTATGAGGTCGATGACCTTCATGCCTTAGAAAATGGGCACTAATTGTTGACGCTATTCGTACCATACAAATCCTGGGATTCCCTTACTTTTCGGCGTTGAAGCCTTCCTACTATGTTATCGTCCCCTTCTCTCCCCCTCCACTCTAGAACGCTTATATTAAAGCCTTCGGTCTGAAGCGTAATTGTTATTTGTCGATTACAAAGGCTAACTTAGAAGATAAGTGTCCTTATCCGTGATTCGCTCAACTCCCTATGTTTTAATGCGCCTCCCTATTGTTATAGGTGTAATAATAAGGGTATGTGTATCGCGTAGAGTGTTGCATATGGACTGGAAAGCTATACCGGTTTAGGAAAGAGAGATGATCTCATCTTTAAAAGATTTAAGATCGATGGTTGGTCGTACCATTGTAAAGTGTATGTAGAAATAAAAGAGAAGTTGAAATTAGTATATATGCTTTAAGAAGGCGGTGATGAAAAGGCGGTAAGGCAGTATCCAATCAGAGGGTTATGTAGGGGTGGTCCCATTAGTCGCCCGTAATTCTAATTGGCCTTGGCAGGGGTCCAGATTACTGTGCATCATTAGCTTAATTGCGATCTCCATTGCTTGAACTTTCTTGGCTTCACCTGTTTATTCATAGAAACGAAAAAAAAGGAGTCTAGCCCTCTTGGCGTGGGGGTATCCAGGTATCCCACTATTAGTGTGACGAACTGTCAGGAAACTAAATTATTGGGTTACATCAGTAGATGCTGGCATCCATCTCACTCATTCTATGTCTTTGGAAATATCCGTCGCCGCGAGGAGGTTTGAAGAGTCTGTCTGAGATCGAATCCGTGCGAGATAGAATTTGTCCGAAAGGTGATGATATCCAGAATGGATTGTCACAGAATTATCCGCATCGTCTCCCTCTCTCATCATATAGCTCGAGTCCACACACCCTGACCATTCAGACCTCTCCCATCTTCATCCTCCATTCCATCCAAACATGGACACCATCTTCCAAGTCCAGGGCAGCCCAAAGTCGCGCCTTGCGCCCCTCTTCCTGATCCACGCCATCTCCGGCCTGGCCATGCCATACAACTCGCTCGGCTCTCTCGACACCCGCGGACGAACCGTCTACGGAATCAGCTCCCCCCTCTACGGACCACGCCGGTACCGTCTACCATCCTCCATCGATGATGTCGCTCGCCAATACATCCGTCTGGTGCGCAGCAAGCAGGCCACGGGTCCGTATGTGCTTGGCGGGTGGTCGTTTGGTGGCCTCGTCGCGCTGAAAATGGCCGAGCTGCTTACCGCGCAGGGGGAGACCATTCTGCACGTTATTATGATTGATACACCGAATCCAATCTCCCGTCCGCCTTGGGGCAGTGAGGGGCAAGAAGGGCTGGCGGCACTCACTTACAATGCCATTGCACAGCAGGCGGGCCAGCCGATACTGAACGCCCGGCAGCCTACGCCCCCGGAGAAGGGGGAGGGGACAGGCGCAGATGCGGATGATGAGTCCGCTGTCATGTGGCAGAACATGTACAAACATATCTACAATGTGCTGGCGCTCGTGGAACGGGCTGCAGACGGGGAGTTTGTTGGCGCCTTGAAAGAGGTCAACGTTTCGTTTGTCAAGTGCTCGGTTCTGGAAGTGCCCCCCTCAAGCCTGATCACGGAGTCCAGTAGGAAGTTTTATTTTGATCGCTACGAGGATGAGTATATGGGCTGGCAGCCTGAGCTGTTTGCCGGCTGGGAGGGGTATACTCTAGCGGCGGAGCATAATAGTGTGTTCGAACCTGCTCATGTAGACGATTTGACCGGTATTTTGAGAGATATTGTAGGCAAAGTTGTTGGATAGTTGTTGGATTATCCCATAGATGCCTGATTGGTTGTTAGCAGACTGAGCAGTAGACTGAGCAGTTTGCTTGCCAGTCTGCTCTGCTTCTGATAGATTGAATAGATCATGGTCCTACCTTCTCTCTCTCTCTCTCTCTCTCTCACACACACACACACACACACACAATTGCTTACGGGGATATGAATAATTAATAGAGATATTAATATTAGGCTCAGAACGTCATTTGAGCTATCGACTAGATTGCAAGATTATTCTACCTCAATTCCACATTTCATATTGCTCCCAGTACGTCTAAGTACTCTATTAGAATGATACCTAAAAAAGCAACTATAATCTTTTCATAGATAACCCGTCACACACTGGCATCGACTGTACAGGCGATTAGGTATGCTATTTGTTCATAACCTAGAAGTTGTAAATAGGTAATACATGCTCAGTCGTCCATACAAAGGATCGTCCTCAAACCCGTCATGTCTCGAATCGTACTCATATCCTCACGGATAATCATTGCATAGTTCCGCAATCCCACGGATGTCTGAAATAATTCTAGCCCTAACACCAAGTGCTCACTGCGTGAAGTCTAGACTTCACAAATTATCCGTGCCTCGGCGGAGTATTAGCTCCTGCACGTAAGACGGGTTGTCTTGCGTACATATGCTCTTTCGACTTACTGCAAGACAATTATGATATCGGATAGAAGGAAACCTATGCTCGTACTGGCAATGTGCTGTACATTTGTGTAGTTGCCTAGTCCATATAACATAACTACTCCCCAGCGTATCTCGAGTCTGTTTATACAACAACAAACACATTTTGCTTTGCAAATCATCCACATGTCTCCCTGGATGTACTATTTTCGCGGGGGGCTCGGGCTCGGGCTCGAGCTCAAGCTCAACGGGTATCCCTACCCCCCTGCCAAGTGATGACCCGGCAGTCATCGTGGGTATGGCATGTCGTGTGCCTGGAGCATCGAGTCCAAGTGCATTGTGGAACTTGATCGAGCAACAGAAAGACGTGCAGCGGAAGATGCCAGAGAACAGATTCAACGTTGATAGTTTCTACCATCCAGATGGTAAAAATAAGGGAACGGTATGAGGCCTATCCAATTTATCGTTGAATTACTTTCTCACAGACTGTTCAGACAAATGCTCGATATGGCTACTTTTTGGATCAGGACCTCGGGGCGTTCGATCCGGGATTTTTCAATATCTCGGGGAAACGAGGCTGAGGCTATGGACCCTCAGCAGAGATTGTTGCTCGAGGTTGTTTACGAGGCCTTGGAAGATGGTACGCAGCGATTTCCACTTGTGTTACTCACATACTGACAACAACAGCTGGCATCCCTCTGGACAAGGTCGCTGGATCACAGACATCCGTGTTTTGTGGTTCCTTTACAAACGACTACAACTCCACCATTACAAAAGACCTGGAGTACTATCCTAAATACACCATCACGGGAACGGGAAACTCCATTCTGTCCAACCGTATCTCATACTTCTACAACCTTCACGGAGCAAGTGCCACCATTGACACCGCGTGCTCTTCCTCCTTGGTTTGCTTCCATCTCGGCAATCAGACACTGCAGTCCGGCGAGGCGTCCATGTCCATTATTCTAGGCTCAGCCTTGCACTTTGACCCGAACATCTTCATTACCATGACTGATCTTGGTATGCTATCTACTGACGGCCGGTGTCGTGCCTTCGACGCCGATGGCTCCGGCTACGTCCGCGGTGAAGGTATCTGTGCAATTATTTTAAAGCGGAAGAGCCAGGCCGAGTTGGACGGCGATATCATCCGAGCCATTGTCCGCGGGACGGGCGTTAATCATGATGGAACGAAGCAAGGTATCACTTTGCCATCGTCTGAATCACAGGAAGCCCTCATAAGACAGGTCTATCGCACAGCAAGACTTGATCCCAGAGATACGTCCTATTTTGAAGCTCATGGAACGGGAACCCGCGCGGGTGATCCACGAGAAACCCGAGCTATCGGGGCGGTGTTTGCCCCTGAACGGGAAGATTATCTCCATCTGGGATCTGTCAAATCGAATATTGGTCATTTGGAGGGTGCTTCCGGTGTGGCAGCTCTGATCAAGGCGACGCTTTCTCTGGAAAAGGGCCGGATTCCTCCAAACATGCATTTCAACACCCCCAACCCGAATATAAATTTTGATGAATGGAAATTAAAAGTTCCCACCAAGACGCTGGACTGGGATGCTCCGAACGGACTACGCCGGGCGAGTATCAATTCCTTTGGTTACGGAGGAACGAATGGACATGTCATTCTCGAGGGTCACTATGCACAGCAAGACAGACCGTGGGAAAAGCTTGACTTGGCTTTTGACCTCGAGGGAATGACACAAGAACGACCATTTTTGTTCCCTTTGACCTCGCACTCTGTAAAAACTGGGAAGCTTACGGGCGAAGCATTCTCGAATTATGTCGAGGAACGGCCGGAACTTGATATCCGCGACCTGGCTTATAATTTAAGTGTGCGACGGTCTATGCACAAATTCCGGTCATTTGCTGTCAGCAATGATGCAGACACTCTTCTGGGTGATTTCGTGGATCCTCTGCCAGTTGCCGCCTGGACCGCAGCTCAGTCTGAGAAGCCCCGCATCGGATTCGTTTTCACTGGTCAGGGAGGGCAATGGTTTGCAATGGGTCGAGAACTCATTCAAAAGTCGCCTCTTTTTAAGCAGACTTTGCAGAAATGCGACAAGATCCTTGGCCAGCTTTCCGACGCACCGGAGTGGTCTGTCGTCGACGAACTTCTCAAGTCCCAGGCGACAACTCGTCTTGGTGAGACTCAGTTCTCTCAGCCTTTGTGCACCGCACTGCAGTTGGCCCTCTGCACCTTGCTAACCCAGTGGGGCATCGAGCCAACCGCAGTGGTGGGACACAGCAGTGGTGAGATGGGTGCTGCGTATGCCGCCGGAATCCTGTCATTTGAGAATGCCTTGATTGCTGCTTACTACCGAGGATTGTACATGTCCAATGGCCCGGAAAATGGCATCAAAGGTAGTATGATGGCGGTTGGTCTGACTGAGGAGGAAGCCCGACTCGAGATTGAGCCGTACAAGGGACGCATTGCTGTGGCAGCCACCAATAGTCCTTCCAGCATCACCCTCTCTGGGGACGAAGACGCCATTGTGGAATTGAAGAAAGACCTGGTGGACAGAAAGGTCTTTGCCCGTCAACTGCAGGTCGCCCAGGCTTTCCATTCGCATCATATGTTCCCACTGGCCCCCGGTTACCTGCAGGCGTTGGAGAAGCATACTAAGTTCGCCGCGCTCCCAGCCCAGCGTAAGATGTTCTCCAGTGTTACAGCCAAGGCCGCTCAACCTAGCCTGATGGGCCCTCAATACTGGGTTGACAATATGGTTGGCACTGTACGATTCACAGAAGCCCTCAGTGGGATTCTCATCGATGAGGAGGGCAAGCAGGCCGTGGATGTTCTCATGGAAATCGGTCCCCATCCAGCATTGAAAGGACCGTCTCGACAGACCGTTCAGTCTCTCAAGCTCGACATCCCCTACTTGTGTTCTCTGACTCGTGGAACCCTCGACTATGAGGGACTCCTGACCGCCGCAGGTCAACTTTTCGCGCTCGGATATCCGGTCGACCTTGCCGCTGTGAACAGCGACCACTTCTTGGATGAATCTGGTGTCATACAGGAGGTGAACAAAGCCCAGCGCCTGCGAGACATGCCAAAGTATTGCTGGGACCATAGTGCGCGGTACTGGGCAGATACTCGCGTGATCTCCGAGCATAGACTAAGGAAGCACCGCCACGCTATCCTGGGAACACCTCTTGCTGGCTCTGTGCCTGGATCTCCCCGCTGGCGCAATTTCCTTCGCCTCGACGAGCTTCCTTGGCTGGCTGACCACAAGATCGATGGTGATGTCGTGTTTCCCGCGGCCGGCTACATCGCTATGGCCATCGAAGCTATCGCTAGGCTGGAGGATGGGCCAGCATCAATATCCCAGTTTGCTCTCCGGGATGTGTCTATCAAAGCCGCCTTGGTCCTCGATGAATCAGCCATGGGCAAAGAGGTCATGTTGGACTTGAGACCCCATTCCACATCCATCAAACCCACTCCAGACGCATGGTACGAATTCTCTATCGTCTCCTTTAGCAATTCGGGAGCAGACAACACGGAGCACTGTCGAGGATTGATTTCCGTTCAGGAGGGATCAGCTGGATCCATTGATCGCAAGGAGCCGTGTTCTGGTTTCTCCGAGCTTCAGGCCAAGAGTGTCAAATCCCTCATCCCGCGCACTTTCTATGAACGGATTCACTCTCTGGGGCTTCAGTACGGCGAAAACTTTGCACTTCTTACCGGACAGATCGAGAGTGGTGCTGGGTTTGCCACGGCGCCCCTCAGCTGGAAATCTGACAGGTTCAACTCTCCAGCGCCCTCCCATGCAACTCTGATCCATCCCAGCCTGCTGGATGCCGCACTGCACACTATCTTTGCAGCCGTTGAAGGTCGCACGGGGAAGCCCATCACTGGGCCTTATGTCCCAACTTTCCTCCGCTCGTTGCAGGTCTCCGGGGCTTTCGCCGACAGTGCCTTCCTGGCGGCAGACCACGAATTCCAGGTCTCTACTGAAATCGATCTCCAGGGCACTCGTCTTGTCACCAGTGATCTGCGGTTACAATCCGATGATGGCCAGCAGTTGCTGTTGGACATCCAGGGGCTTGAGCTGACTAGTTTGGGCACCTCCGACTCGTCCATTCGCTCCTTGTTCTTCCGCACAAATTGGGATGTGGCATTTGAATTCTTGAACAGGCCACAAGCACCGGTGCCAGATAGCCTGGCTCGCTTGGTTGACATATTTGCCCATCAATTCCCGGATTCCAAGATCCTACACATCACGCCCACTCCCGATTCATCTCGGGAATTTTTGCGGGTGTTGGGTGGAAGGAATGGCGAGCAGCGCCGGTTCCACTCGTTGACCCTACTTCCAGTGGCTGAAGAAGTAGTCAGTTCCGTTGAGCAGATACAGTCGGAATGGCCATCTTTGGTTAAGCTCGATGACCCAAAGGAAGGGGAATATGATCTCGTCATTCTAGACGATGTTACGTCGCATACTAACGATATCACAACGTACCTGAAACCCGATGCATTTGTGATCGGGCTGGGTGACAGCAATATCAGCAATGAGGCTTTGACGCCAGCTTTCTCCTCTGCAAGCTTCAAGGTCTGGAGAAAAGCTGATGCGTCATCTAACCCAATTGCCGGTACTGATCTAGTTTTGGTCAATGCGGCAAATCCAAGCAACAGGGCAGTTTATATTGCATCCACCATTGCCTTGGCTCATCCAGGCTCGTCTACGGTATCTATCAATCAGCTTTCTAAGATCACCCCGATCCCAGAAAATATCGTCATACTTGCCGCCTTAGACAAGGACATTCTTTTCAAAGAAGAAACCAGTGATTCGGAGGACTTTACCACCCTGCAGCAGATTCTGACCACTGGCAAGAAAAATGTCGTCATGGTCTTGGACGGCGCTTCGATGGATTCTCGGAAGCCTGAACAGGCACTGATGACGGGTCTTGCCAGAACCGCTCGAAGTGAGAACGAAGAACTCAGGCTGGTATTGCTGGATACTTCGTCGACTGCCCAAGAATCAGACATTTCCAGTCTCATCACCGAAATCCTGAATCCCAAGATCCAGGAGGATGAGCTCACCGAGCGTGACGGTGCGGTCTTCATCCCTCGTGTGCAGACGGACGATACTCTGAACTCAAAGTTGACCCACGGCTCTGTCCAATCGGCCTCACAACAGCCACTAAACCAAGATCGCCAGCTTACCCTCAAGATTGGCAAGGTGGGGTCCCTTGATACCCTGGTCTTTGACGACGACCTGGCTCTCCAATCCTCAACACTCGCCAATGATGAGGTAGAGATAAAGGTTCAGGCTTCCGTGATCAGTTCCAGAGACAGTGCTGCCATATTAGGGGCCGCTGATGAATCCAAACTTGGCGACGTATGTGCAGGGCTCGTTGTTCGCATCGGAAAAGATGTCGACTCCACTCTTGTTCAACCGGGAGACCGCGTTGTGGCAGTTAGACCAGGCCAGGGCGCGCACCGGACCATTGTGCGCAACCCTGTGTCATGGACGTACAGATTAAAAGACGAGATGGCATTGTCAACAGCGGCTGCAATTCCCGCCCCTCTTATCACGGCATACGAGGCTATTCACCAGGTTGCCCATCTTCG